GGTAAGTGAGGGGTCTTAGGGTGCAGGCTGTCGACCCAAGAGGGGGTGTGAGGGAGCTGGGGATGCAGGGAGGGGAGAGGCTGCATGGCTTCTGCCTCCCCCAGAGCACCATGGAGGGGGGAGGCCGTGCTGCATCCCAGGAGCTCCATGAGTGAAGGGGCAGGGAGTGTGGGCACGTGATGAGTGAGGGGGCTGGCGGTGCGGAGTCTTGGCCAGAGGTTGGGGGTGTGGGGAGGAGGAGGCTGTTGGGGAGCCTGTGTGTTTCCCCTATACCTATGGCAGGAGGCTGCAGCTAAGGGTGGATGAGATGTGGGACACAGAGTGACATGCTGAAATATATATAGATATATATCTAAGAGAGAGAGAAAGAAAGAGAGAGAGATAAATAAATAAAAGTAGTAATTCTCTTTGAGTTCTTGAATAATATATAAGATTGTTCCCATCAATGAAACTGCCAGGACTTTTTTTTTTCATGTTGCCTTTAAAGTAAGTAGGCTTCCCTTGTTGCAGAAATGAAAGAATGAGATCTGTGCCATAGGCCAATTATCTGTTCCTAATGTAAGGCAGTTTCCTCTCTTAAACTATTGTGGACAAACAGGTCTCCGGCTTGTAAGGTAATCCCTTGTCACTGTCACTACTTTTCATGTGCTATTCTTGAGAGTTACTTTGAGAAGGCTAGTCAGACTAAGAATTTGCTTTCTCTGCAATATACCAATACAACAATGACCAGAATGAACAGCACTAATATAACCAGAGTATTAGATTTTACTGTGTTTTGTACTGAACGGTATGAGTCCCAATGGGTAATAGTTGTTCATGATTCTGTGAATAGTCAAACCTGATATGAAACTTGCGTATCCTAAATGATCGAGAGCAAGGGAATTTTTTTAATTAGCTGAACTTGACTCTTGAGTAGAATAATTAAGTGGTCATAAATATGAGAGTGATACAAAATATCTTATCTAAGTTAAAGAAATAATTTTCACTTCATCCAACTCTGATTCAGTTGTGTTTCAGGACAAATCTCATGACTACTTTATTTACAATTACATGCCCTTCAATAACTTTTCTGCTGGGGAAATTACCATTCCTTCTTCGGATACTAATTTTTCTGTAATATATTTAAAGATTGCGTATTCTTTACAATGGTTTGCAATGTGGATATCTTCTTGTTTTCCATTTGCAGTCCATTATGATGGCTGCTTAGACTGGTGAAGCATAAATCTAATTGCATAGATCTTTTAAGTCAAGCAAGCTCTTTATCCTGTTTCTGCCTTCAGTGAATGAAAGAAAATCTGTGCATACCCCATTATGAACTAACTAAATAAGTTTCCAAAGGAGGCTTATCTACAAATCATCCCATTTAACTGCCCTCAGACTATTCTTCTATTCTGCAAATGACTGGAAGACTTTCTCCATTCAAGATAATCTTATCTGAAAAAGTGGGTTTTGCCCATGAAAACTCATGATACTACAGTAAACTTCTGATAATCCATCACCTTTAGGACCCAGGGAGTGCCGGATTATCAGATATGCCGGACTATAGGAAGGGGGGGGGCTAGGAGGGGTCTGGGGTAGAGTGGGGGGGATGTGCCCCTTGGCGCTGCGGGACCAACCCGGCAGCATCCCAGCTGCTCTGCCCCAGACTTCCCGAAGTCAGCCGCTGCTGAAACTGACCAGCGGCGGGAT